GCATAAAGGAGACTACCCGCACACAGCCGTATGAGAGGGAGGGGCATAACTGAATAGTGAGCAGTCTTTTAAGGAGGTCATATCAATGTAGAGACTATCCATTCATTTCTATAGTCATAAGCCTAATAACAACTATGACAAGCCTAACCCTACCCAGTCCTAACATTAATTAGAAGCGCCTTCATGGATTTCTAGAAAATTGAGATTATCCTTGTGTGGTCAAAAAAATGTCCCCACAAGGTAAAACGTTGCAGGTTTTTATGACATTGTGAGGAAATCTGGTCCCCACATTGTAATAATTGCAATCACACAGATACACATGAAGTCCTCATGGAAAACCTACAGGGACGTGGCGGGACTCTGCAGCTCAGCTTCACTCAGGTTGCTGTGTTGCCCTGCTGATGGGCTCCTGCATTTGTGCATTATTTTCCCCATTTGTTAAATGAGTAAAAGGTATGGAGGACAAGAGGTTCTGACCAAACGGGGGGCTGGGGGGGCTGGGGGGGCAGGATGAGCAAAGTTGGCGCACCATGTGGGCCAAAATGGTGTTGATGGACCCACATAGCATAATGATTAGTGCCTCCTGGATCCCTGATGCAGGCCTCACTGGCCCAGTGAGGCAAAGCGCAGGCAGTGGTGAAGGCAGCAGGGGAAACATGCTGAGAGTGGTGCGAGGTGTCTGTGTGTTTGACTGTGTCTCTGGGGGCGTGTCTGTGTCTCTCTGTGTTCAACTGTGTGTCTGTGTCTGAGTGTGTCTCTAACTGTGTGTCTGTGTCTGAGTGTGTCTCTAACTGTGTGTCTGTGTCTGAGTGTGTCTCTAACTGTGTCTGTGCGTCTGTCTATGTGTGTCTGACTATGTGTCTGTGGGGGTGACTGTGTCTGATTCTGTGTCTGACTGTGTATCTGTGGGTGCGTCTGTCTTTATGTCTGTGTTTGTCTGATTGTGTGTCTAACTGTGTGTTGGTGTGTGCGTGTGTCTCTGTGTGTCTTGACTGTGTATCCGTGTGTGTGCCTGTGTCCCTGTGTCTGAGTGTGTTTGTCTGTCTGAGTGTCTATGTGTCTGCCTGTCCTTGTGTGTCTTTGTGTGTGTGTGTCTGTCTGTGTGTCTAATTGTCTTTTTGTGCATCTCTTTGCCTCTGTGTCTGTGTGTGTATGTGTCTCTGTGTCCGTCTGTGTATCTGTGTGTGTCTCCTAACCTGCTTGCAGGTCTCCCCGGCAGGCTAACAGCTACACACGTGTCTGTACAACACGCTGCATTCCATGATAAGCATTTCATTTGCGAACCACATTCCATTCGCTTCTTCCTACATGCGCTCAGAGGGCTTTGGGGCTCGTTGACATGAACCCCCCCCCCCCCTGCCTGCCCAAAGCCAGGGAGCATCTCCATCTTGCCACCACCTCTGCTTGCAGTGAAAAGGGGGGTCTGTCACCAGCTCCAAAGAAACAGGCCTGAAGTAGCCACCAGACCACCACCCCCCTCCGATATTAGTCCCCCCCACCACCACCCACTACAGAATACACTGGCTTGAGGCCCCATGACTGAGGTGGAGAGGGGGCTTGATGAAGCCTCTGGGATTCAAATTTGTGATGTCCCACTTTGAACACAGTGTAATTTCTGGCTTGGAAATCCTTAGGGGGACCAGGGTGAGGGATGGAGCTATTAAGAAATTAAGCCAAAATACCTGTAACATATTTGAAGACCTGGAAATCCCACTATCTGTATAACACCAAAACTGAATTACTGAGTGTCCCGTATAAAGTACATCTTTCATATGTTTAAATGATCTCTTATAGGTATACTCACCTATGGCGTCTCAGCACGGTTTGCCGTCTGCTCTGTGGTCAATAAACAGTCTCTAGAGTCTAGAGAGTCATCAGATCAGTCCAGAAGGTCATGAACACACAGCTGGAGTGTCTTCACATCAGACTCATCCCACCACTGCCATCACCTTTTCATAAAGGTCCGTTAAACTCTGCACCTCCAGGCTTTTGAAGAGTTGCTACCCCAGAGCCATTAGGGTGAACTTTGCATTCCAGAGACCTCTGCGCTCCTGAGCTCCTGTTTCCAGCCTTCACCAGTACATGTGCAACAACAATAATGTCTCTACATTGATGTTCTTCTATGCAATAAAAATGAATGAAAGTGCAGTGTTAAAGGAATGAGGTTCTGCAGTGATTCTCTGCAGTAATGACAATCACAACGCTGCATCTGTAGATACATTTTACAAGTTTCAGTACTATAATTGCTGACTATGTGCAATAATGGCAATTAAGGCATTATGCTGACTTGTTTGTATAGGTTAGGAATGCTTGTATGTTTGTTTCTATGTATGCAAGCATGCCAGCATGCAGGAGTATGGAGGGTCGCCAGCTCTCACGAATCTGGCCCGGTAATAAATCTGTTACATACATGTAAATGCGTGTGCATATGTATGTAAACTTGTCTCACTTCAGCCAGCTGACCGAAGCTGGCAGCCCTGGGAATATGTAAACTGGATGAATGGGAAAATGTTATATGTATCAGTGTGGAAATGTCCACTTATATATAAGTATATTTCCTTGCTCAATGTATATCTGGAAGTGCACACATTACAGTTTTATATTTCGTGCATAACTACACTTTTACATTTTTACTTTTTTCAGTGTTTTTATTATTATTATTATTATTATTATTATTATTATTATTAATTATTAGTGCCGAACAGGAAAAAGCAGCTTAATCTCGTGCTGTAGAGCAATGACAATAAAGCTCTCTACGCTATTCCAACACACACTCAAACGCGCTAGTGCGTTTATAATTCCAGACGTCGAGCGAGATGTAACGCTTCTGCGCTGAGGGGTTTAATGCCTTCACGAGGATACAGCCGCCGCGAGGCGTCAGCGCCGCGCCCCGTGCACACGCACCGGGACCCGCCCTCCGTCCGCCATTTTTTTTCACCACCTCGGCCAGGAGTCGAGAGCCGAACATCAACAAGGCGTAAGACCTCTGGAAGAGAGCTGACCGCCCGGGACCGAAACGATTCTGCCGTAACCGAGCCCCGCCTGAGCTGCTAGCCGAACCGCTTTCGGACCCGCAGCTGCACAGCACGCCTTTTCCGAGTGTGAATACGTGTTGAGGGCCGCCATTTTTGTTCCTCTCTAGTAGTCGGGGGTGGGGGCAGAAGGGAAGGCATTTCGGGCGCCTTTCGGCCGACTCGGCTCCGTATTGTTGTACAATCAGCACCGAGTCGCTGTTCCGCTGTAGCGGCATGGAGGTCGCTGGGCTGGAGTAAGCCGCTCCGACCGGGGACACCTTGTGTCATTATTTGCTACTTTTCTCTTCTTTTTCGGAAGAGGTGCGTAAAAGGGGAAGCTGAGCCAGGGTGGAGGGAGCGTCCCCGTCCCCGCAGCGCGGCGTCTGGGGCTCTGGATGACGCCTGAAGCCGGACAGCGCTGAGCCGCAGACGGGCTATCAGTCCGCTTCCATGGGGCGCCCCGGCGTGTGATATATCCAGTCCCATTCCGCTACTATTTCATTTGCCTTAGCGTTTTGCGCTCATCCCCCCTCCTAAGCATGTCTTCGGCGCGGTTCGATTCCTCGGACCGGTCCAGTTGGTATTTCGGCCCGGTGTCGCGGCAGGAGGCACAGAACCGCCTGCAGAGCCAGCGGCACGGCACCTTCCTGGTGCGGGACTCGTCCACCTGCCCAGGCGACTACGTGCTGTCGGTTTCGGAGAACTCCAAGGTGTCGCACTACATCATCAACTCGCTACCCGGCAAGAGGTTCAAGATCGGGGACCAGGAGTTCGAGCACCTGGCCGCGCTGCTCGACTTCTACAAGATCCACTACCTGGACACCACCACCCTGATCGAACCGGCCAGCAGGTGAGCGAGGGGCCGCGGTATTCACGGGGCACATTGAATGGTTGAGGTGCATGGTGTTGGTGGTATAACTGGTTAATTTAGTAAGCGTTAACTGGAATGACCTGTGACACAGGCCCGGGTACCGGCCGGTAGGCTACGACGTGTCGGGGATCCGTGTCGGCAGAGATCGGGACGCATACTTGTGCTTGGCGTGGTTCAAACTGGCCGCGTGTCCAGGCGCGTCCCCCCCGCATTCTTCAAAGTCCCGTTAATAGTCCTGCGGTGTAACGTTTACACGAAGGCCCCTCCCTTTATGCAGTGGGTTTCCAGGTGAGGTCTTGTGCATGAGTGAGCGGCCCCAGTGATGGGGCGCTTTTCCGGGACATAACAGTGTTTCCCCCTCTGGCCCAGGTACCCCAGCGGGCTTCCCGGGGCCCCGCCCACTGTCTCCGACGACAGCCTGGAGTATGTGCGTACCCTGTATGACTTCACCGGCAATGATGCAGAGGACCTGCCCTTTCGCAAGGGGGAGATTCTGGTAATCCTGGACAAGCCGGAGGAGCAGTGGTGGAGTGCCCGGAACAAAGATGGCCGTGTGGGCATGATCCCCGTGCCCTATGTGGAGAAGCTGCCCCGGCCAGCTGCCCACCCCGGTACCCTGCCCGCCGGGCACACCTCCCGCATCTCCAACAGCTATGGCGTCCCGGAGCCTGCCCACGCCTATGCGCAGCCACAGACGCCCTCGCCACTGCCACAGGGCCCTGGACCCTTGCCCTCCATGCAGAACGGCCCCGTCATGGCCAAGGCCATCCAGAAGCGGGTGCCCTGTGCCTACGACAAAACTGCACTGGCGCTAGAGGTAGGTGGCGCTGTAGTTGTGACAGTGCTGCAGAGCATTTGACACTTAAAAAATGAAGGCAGTGTAAAAGATTATCGAGAATAAACAGTCCCTGCAGTTTAGAGCAGTTCATTTGTAGGTTTGGACCACTGATTATTTCTCTAGGTTATTTCCCCCCCAGCCTGCCTCACTAATCCCTTGATGTACTGGAAAGATCCCTTCTGCCAGTCAGTCATTAGTTTCCTGCCTAGAAAGTGCAGAAATAGTTACTTCTAGTGTCCTTGTTGGATTTAACCGAAAACAACAGTGCTGATGTGAGATTCTGTGAACTAACGCAGTCCGGTTGGTCCTGGATGAAGGGGCTGACCAGTCAGGGCTTGTGGGATGTTTGTTCTGGGGTGGGGGTCCAGCCTTGGCTTGTGACTGTGACCTGTGTTTGTAAAGTCACCCTTTTGCTTTGTCTTTGCTCCATGGTTGGTTTTAAAGCAGATAGAAAGTTATGAGTGTTTCTAGGGTCCCAGCTGGTCCCTTGTGTTGCATCTCTGTATCTGTCCCCGATGACACCACTGCCCTGGGTGACCAAACAGGATGTGGGCTGGGTTGGAAGCATCTTCAGTGACACCCCGCCCCACAGAAAATACCTTAGATCTGCTGGAAATAGAAGAATTGGATTGGGGGGCTGGATACCTGTCATTCTGCTCAAGTCTCTTCTTAGTAGTGACACCAAAGTTGTTTAATAGGTATTGGTTTGAGGGATGCACTGCCTCTCTCTCAGCAGCTCTGCCCTTACCCGAAACCGCACAGTGCTGTTAGTGTGACTGACGCAGCAAGGGTTTTAAGTGGCCAGGCCAGCTGGTCCTCTTCTCCAGGGACCCCTTGCTGTTGTCCCTGTTTCCTGCCCTGCAGTTCTGGCCCAGATCTAGCAGGTGGCAAGCTTCTGTCCTCTGAATGGTTCCTGAAGCAGAGCAGCACCTCTACTTGCGTAGCGTGAACCCATTGTACTGGTGACATCACCAAATTAGGTGACACGGTGTCTCGCTTGCCTGGTGGGTATTTGGTCTGATCCTTTGCCTGGTGGGTATTTGGTCTGATCCTTTGCCTGGTGGGTATTTGGTCTGATTCTTTGCCTGGTGGGTATTTGGTCGGATCCTTTTGCCTGGTGGGTATTTGGTCTGATCCTTTTGCCTGGTGGGTATTTGGTCTGATCCTTTNTTTGCCTGGTGGGTATTTGGTCTGATCCTTTTGCCTGGTGGGTATTTGGTCTGATCCTTTGCCTGGTGGGTATTTGGTCTGATCCTTTTGCCCCCTAGCCAGCCAGACTGACGAAACATCAGACAGCCAGATACATGCAGGCTTTGCATCCTGGAGAAAATGATGACATGTTAAATCCACAGCATCACAGGGTCGATGTAGCCTCTGGTGACCTGGAGTGTGTGTGACCCAGTTCAGCACTCAGATCGACACACCCACCAACCTCCGCATGTGTCTTTCACCCCCAGGTGGGGGACATTGTCAAGGTGACACGGATGAACATCAGTGGCCAATGGGAGGGTGAGGTCAACGGCCGGAGGGGGCTCTTTCCATTCACGCACGTGAAGATCATGGACCCCCAGGATCCCGATGAGAATGAGTGATGGGCCCCACCTCCTGCACCACCAACCCCTCCCTCCACCCTTGTGATTGGCCATCTCTCGAACTTTACCTTCTGGGGCATCTCGCCACCCCTTGCCCCTGCCAAGCCCACTAGCCGCACACATCTCCACCTGGAAACAGGAACACTTTTGATTGGATGGCAGCTGAGGAGGTCACATACATTTTTTTAAGTGAACAAGCTGTTTTTTTCATCTTGCTACCTTTCCTAATGGTGCTGGCAGCGGCCTGGGCTGAGGCTCTTGGGAAGACAGATGACATTCCTGGAAGCTGGGGTGGACCTCAGATGTGACTGCTTGGGTTTTCTGTACTGTAATGGCTGAAATAGCTGAACGTCACTGTCAGATCCCCCTGAGGTGGGTTAGGGGATGCGGTGCTTGTGTAGATCAGTGGTGAGTATGTTCATGAATCTTCTGTGAACCTCATTCCTTTAAAGTGGCCTCACCCTGCTCGGGTGGGGGGGATACCTGTTCAGACCTGTTCTGCTGTTTGGGGAGAAACTGTTTCACTTCACATCTGCTGTGACGTGACTCAGCTCTACCATTGACATCCTCTGGGGGTGTGCCCCGGTCCTCTCTGCCAGTAACCTAGAGCTGGGCAGAACGGACGTCTAAGCCTGGCCTCTGTGTGACCTTGACCTTAGGCCAAAGGTCACCTGCTGCCTTGTGACACTCGTGGGTTCTGGGTTCCTTCATTGGATTGAGATGCGTTTGGGATTTTCTGTAGCCAGGCTTGGGGAGTTTGTGTCAGTGTAGCCAGCCTGACCTGAGTCTCCATTCTACCTGGTAGCAATATGCCAATCTGTAATTTTAAAATATTCTAATTTAAAATTCTCGTTGCCCTGTGGCATTAACAGCATTAGTGCATCGTTTGTCTGTCTAGGAAAAGCATGTCAAACGACTGCTGGCTTTGTAATGTTTCTCTTTGATTCTGAATAAATCATGTGCCTTTTCTTTTTTCCCATGTGTTCGTGTGCTCGTCTCGGTCGCTTCTCATGCCTCATGTTTGAGAATGTCGTCCAAACGCACTGCACCAGCTTTTCCTCCGCTGCTAATCCCGCTCGCTCTGCTGACTCTGCAGTTGATGAGAGGGAGCTCCTCCAGGTAGGAATAAGGATGTTTGAATGGGATTTTTCCTAATTTAGGGGAAATGTGTACATGGTATTTATCCAACTCAGCCTGTGAGATGCCTGTTCACTGTAGGTGGCCCTGATCTTAGTGTGGGTTCCTAGTGCTGCCACTGCATGTTTTCCAGTGCATCCCTGCACCTGTTTCCTGTACCTACCGGCCATAACGTCCCGTTAAATGACCGTTCTGGTATGTGTTTTGGCCAGTCTGCATCTACTGTGTTACTGGAGCAGGGCATGTTGCTTATTTTTCATTAATACAGGTGTGAACTCTTCAGAGAGGAAAGCAATAACTATTTTCTTTAGGTGAGATGGTAAACTTTCACACAAATGTCTGAGGAAATGGTCTTTATTGGGAGAAGAGAAGTAACATTTTGCAGAAATATAACCAATGAAAGGCAGCAAGTGAGCCACAAGTTCAGGTAAAGCACTACAAAAACACACCTGAAGAATACTTGTTACGCCACAAGGAGTCAAAGTTGATGTCCTTGGTATAGTCCACATCGGGGGCTCCGACCCGGTACAAATGGCATAATCCCCTCCTGTTCTCAGACCTGAGAATGGGGGTGACCTTTGAACCCTGCTCCTCATTTTAACAAGGTAGAGTCACATCAGGCCTCATTTACATCCTCTGAAGGCAGTATAATTAACTGTGAAATTCAAATTAAGCTTTTAATGCTTAAAGACAAAAATAACTTTACAATATCCACCCCTTTTGCAGACCTGCTCTATGCTCTTAGCCTGGTGTCCACTCACACTCCTAACCCTAATCCATAACCACAGTACACTAAACGCACTTCACTGCTACCCGCTCACTTAACATGCATGTCTTTGGTGCCTGGAAGCAAAGTGAAGGACAGAAAATCCCTGAAGAGCTCAACACAGCTCCAGACCCCCTGGTGCGCTGTGAACACGGCGCCATCTAGCGGCTCATCGAGGAATTTACCACGGTCTTCACTGACATGGCAACGTTTGGGCCTGAGTGACCTTAAGCGATGTTCGAGTTTAACACCGTGTTCACTAGGTTTCCTTACTGCCTGAGGTGACACTTCTTTTGTCCGCTAGTCCGCATTCCAGAGTGAAACACAGATTTTCTTTTTGCCGTTTTCTATTCATCTTTCTTAAAATTGCACTTCCAGGAAGGGGCAGCATGGGCCACAGCTTGGACAGGATGCTGGTACGGTGTAGGGTGCATATACTATGGCAATTTATGATAATTAATGTAGATGTACGAGTGCAGGAGCAAACCCATGTGACTTAGAGAGAATGTGAACCGCACACACATACACACTCACACGGAGAGTAGAGGTGAGCTTTGACCCCAAACCCTGGAGGTTCAAGGAGTTTGCTAAATACTGAGCCATTGCGACCTACCAGCCCCTGTTAATATATCTTTCTGTTTACAATCATGTATTAAATGCATTATGTCACACTATCTGTATTCCTGGAGTTTGTATGGTATACCTCTTGTGTGTCCCACACTGCCGGGGACAGTCATGTGACACAGACCGTCTGACCCTGTACAGGAGAAGTGGTTTAAAGTTTGATGGAATTCAGTAACTACTATGCATAAGCATATCGATAAAACAGGTTTATGGCTGTAGACTAAACAACGGACTCAAGCAATCATGTACAGTTTACCCTTATACATCGCGGGGGCTTGGGGCGCAGACCCCACGCGATCTGGAAAAATGTCGCACCTGGCGAGAAAAGATACGCGAAACTCAAGATAGAAAGGTCATTGCAAGATCACTGTGAGATATCACTGAGAGACTGCCGTAAACACAAACGGCGTCCTCCAAACCAGCACCGTACAGGCATTTTATGCATTTTTGAATTAGGACTACTAAACTTTTTGTGTCGCCTGCGGCTTTCACAAAAATTATTATTATTATTATTATTATTATTAAAGTTCCTTGTCAAAAAAGGAAAAAAGTGTGTGTGACTGTGTGTTACTGATTTTTGTCCCAGCTGGAGTAAAGAGAGAACCAGAGTAAGAGCAATTCCTGTGTGGCCGGGCCGTCCGCGCTGCACCACAGACCAAAGGGGACACAACCATCAAAACACACGGATAGACACAAGGAGTATAACATTCTTAAGTCAAAAATTAAATTTACACGTACGATGAATATATGCAAGAGGATGTGACACTATACCAAATGAAAACAGCTTGCGCGGTGCAGACGCCGGTCAGGGACGTTACGCGGTGAGGTGTACGCATGCGTGAAAGGGTGCACATGCGTCCTGCAAATCGTGTAACAGAAGTGGGCGGCTGTTTAGACTACATTAGTCCTGGATTTAATCAGGACTGTAAACTAATCGGGAAAATACTGTTCGATGAAATCACTTTCCAGTTACTTACAATAGCGGCACGGTAAGATGTTTTTGGTGGTTTCGTAGTTCTAAGTCCTAATGTAGTTAGCTTTGCGTTTTGCCGAAAGTCTGTCAGTTATAAATAACTTTCTAATGAATTTTACATATTTCATTACGTGTTACTCGTAGGAACGTGGGCTTGATGGAGGTCACAGGAAGTAATGGGCTTTGGGCATGAGCTCCTCAGACGAGGCAAGGCAGCTAGGATAGAGAAATTATTACTGGCAAGGCCAGTAAGTGCTGTGGCTTTTCAGTGTTCGTGTCCCTGCCCTGTGAAGTATGAGGCAGCATCATGTCCCCCGTCCCCAGCTGTCCCCGTTTGGACTGAGTACCGGACCGTACTGCAACGCAGATTTCAGTGCCACTTAAATCTCTGAGCTGTCGATTGGAATATTTGCCCTCTGGTGCTCAGGCAGCAGAAGCATCACCGCCCCTCAGGTGCCATCGCTGGTTAACGTCACACTCGCCCTGATGTCAGCAGACGCCTGCCGTTAGCTGGTAGCTACCTCAATTAAACACGGTTATGCCTATATCTTAACTGCCTAATATATGCCTGTATTTCACTCAAAATCACCCAACACTAGGTAAATTTATTAACTGTTTTGTATTTGTCTATATTTACACAACCCTTGAGTACAGACATCGGGTCGCTTTTCTGGGTTCATGATTGAGTGCGGAGGCTCTTCCCACGGTATGTCATCGCAATGTACAACGAAATTTATTTAAAATTAATGATGTATGACCATTTATCTGCAAAAAGTGTCACTAGCGATCCGAAAACTGTAAAGTTGCCAATTTTAGTTCTTGAGTTGGTAAACCGCGTTCGAACAATAACGGCGTCAGAATTACTTAGAATATCACTGAAACAAAGTAAGACACATTAGAACTTTTGTCAAATTGACCTGATTTTTAACCGTTATTACCCCCATTACCATGCTGTCGCGGAGCCGGCGAAGTCCCGAAAAAATGTATTTTTACATCTTATGCGCCAAAGAAATTAACCAAGCTTTAACGCAATGGTCGCCAACTCTGTCCTGAAGATATAAGTTGTAATATTTCCGTTGTACGATAAGTGACCATTTCATGTTGTTCACTATGCCACAATGAATGACGTGAGTGTCTTTTTTAATTTGAGGTATTAGCCTATTTATTTATTCCAGTGCACACTGAATGTACTTATTGTAATTGGTCATAATTATATATGGAGATACATAAATTGAAAATCCATGGGGTCTGCATTGTCCCCTACAGGCAACTGATCAAAGCACAGTTTACTGTTTGTCTCTGTCTCATGTTGTTTTGGAGTTATTAGAAGTTACGTCCTGTGTGCTATGCATGGTCACTCAGGGTGCCTTGCTGTAAGTGAATATGAAGAGCACATGCCAAATTCTGGAAACACAAGGGATGTGCGGGAGTTCCCATTAACTGTAAATGCTATACCAACATCTCGTTACAGCTGAAATAGACCATTTTCGCAGCATGAACCAGAAACCTTTCCAGCAGGGTGTCAGTGAGGTCAAAAAAGAGGAGCAGGAATACCTGATATCTGAGGGTGGGGGATCTTCGAGCGACACCCCCCACAAGGTGAAATGGAGTGCCAGTAGGTCTCTTCACCATTGTCATTTGTCCACTCTAAAGTCGTTTATTTTTTCAGTGTTAATCTCAAAAGCAACCAACTGTAGGGATCAACAGTGAAGGATGTAAATGAAAGTAGTAAAATCTCCCAAAAGAATCATTTTTGTTTGCTTTCTGCTCCTGTTTTTCTAATATACAGGCTGTTCTTTTTGCTTTTTAATACTATGAAATGAGTGGCTCGTTTAGCCTTGTCATTTTCCTTCTGATGGAAGACGAAAGGTGCAGAGTTGCAGGATGTGACTGAGGAGAAGCTGACTGGTTCTCTTCTGTTGAGAAGCACTGATGGGAGTCATAGTAGGAGATGCAAGCTGAGTGTGAAACCTCCAAACCCAGGTGGTTCCAACTACTGACATATACAACAAAAAACTGCAGTTACTTTGGTACATTTAGTGGTTATAAAGTTTGTTCTTCTGGTTCCCTTTTTAAACCACCAGTGTCATGTTACTCTGTGCACTTCAGGTATGTCAGAGAGCCTGCAACGTGGGCAGCAGACTGTGAACATGACCGGCTACAGACATGGTCGTAATCTGCGCAGCACACCGAAGATACTCTACACTGAGGGAGAGGAGCTCAGAGATGATGATTACCTCTGTGAGTGGTTTATGGCTGAAGGATATACCACATTATAGCAAACCCACGTGGTGTTCTCTCTCGGTTGTCTTGTTGTAATGCACTTTCCCTCCAAGGTTCCTGGGCTTGTCTATCCTGACCACTTTCATGTGTTGCTTCACGTGACCGTTATGCTAAGTAAGAATGGGAGATTGAAAAGGTTCATAGGTCAAACTTCAGACGTCAATTCACAAATGACAAAACTGCACCACCACCCCAAAACAATGGAGGATGATGTTGTTGTTTTAGTTATTAGTTCTTGAGGGGTGGGGGATCGATCACATGGTCCAAAAATACAGGGGAAAATTGTGTCCTGTACTGCTTCAAAATGGGACGGGTGGCAACTCCAGTTAGAAGACATATGATCTCAAAGCACCAGCCCATGATACGGTTTTATACGGCCTGCTCCACGTTCAATGTATGCTTTTAAATCTAACCAGCAGATCGGTCTTTCAATTTCCAACGAATAACGATGTAACATTATTCCACTAATCTAAAAAAACTTATTCATTAATGCTTTTAATGTAATTGAAATACAAAATTAGTTCTATCTGCTCCATTTTCGCTCCGCTACTATTTCTTTTCCCAATACTTCTGTGTAACTTACAAGTTAGAGTGGGGGATTGCGGTCAGCCAACTGGGAAGCTCATCAGTATAAACTCCACCGCAGTAGATACTAGTTGAATGAAGTACCTACCCCAGAGCAGGAGATAAACACGGTTCAGGAACTACAGTCGGGGTGAGATCCGGCGGTGGAACACAGCGGAAGTTCCGGGTTCCTTAAAAATGTTCCTATGTTGGAAAAGTGACTATATGGTATGGTGTAGTATTTACTCTGTTACTGTGTGTAATCCACATTCCTGTTCTTTCTTCATCAGATTGTGAGGATTGCCAGTCCTCCTTCACTGAGCAGTGTGAGGTCCATGGTCCTCCTGTCTTCATCTCTGACTCTTCTGCAGTCATGGGGGTCCCCGGCAGGGCCCTCCTTACCCTACCCCCTGGTTTAGAGGTTCGGTCATCCAGCATCCCTGGGGCAGGCCAAGGGGTGTTTAACCAGGGGCAGACTGTACCCAGAGGAGTGCATTACGGTCCCTATGAAGGAGAAGTCACGGACAGAGAGCAGGCCATTGACAGCGGCTACTCCTGGGTGGTGAGACTAAGCATGCAACAGTGAGGAAGGTTTATAATATAACCACATGAGAATTTCATGTTGTCTTATTAATTTGCGGCCTAATTTGCAGTTTACATTAGCCTTCTGTACATTTGAAGGAATATACACATATAGTTAGGTATCTGACTACTGATCAATTGAAAGTTCTGTAATGGCATAACTTGAGTGGGGTGATGTCTATTACTCACAGGCTTGTGGTTTCAGGTTTACAAGGGCAAACAGTGTGAGACATACATTGATGCCAGGAGAGAATCACACTCCAACTGGATGAGGTGAGATGACACCATTACTGAGTCTCTGTCCGTGCTGCAGTCATACATACATACATATGGTATGTACAGTATACTGGTCATGTCTGCCTCTGCCTGTGTGTCAGGTATGTGAACTGTGCCCGTGATGAGGAGGAGCAGAACCTGGTGGCCTTCCAGCACAAAGGGAACATCTTATATCGCTGCTGCAAGCCCATTGCCCCCAGGCAGGAGCTCCTGGTATGGTACGGGGAAGATTATGCCAAGGACCAGGGCATCACCTTTGACAACTGGTGGAGTAACAAGTGCTCTTCAGAAGGTATTTGTGTTTCTTGTACCTTTGTCATCTTTTTTTCTTATTTCTTTTAACCCTGTCCCATCTCAGTACTGACTGACTGGTCTCTATCTTGTCCCCAGCAAGGAGAGCGGTGGAATCCTACCAAGGATTCCCATGTTCTCAGTGTCCCTTCTCCTTCACAGTGGAGGTTTACCTGCAGAGACACATCAAAAGATCTCACCCTGAGGAGTACGTCAGACAGCTGAGGGCTGGATCTGTCAATACAACCCAGAATTTCTCACCTTCTGCTGGCCCCAGTGGGGCTCAGCCCAGTAGAACCACACTCGGTACCCTGGAAGAAGCAGGTTTAGACACTCCGACAGCTCAACAGGAATTCCAGACCAAAAGGATCGATATAAAGAGCAGTCGTGAAATACACCAGCAGACTCACACAGGGCAGAGGCCCCACCAGTGCTCCCAGTGTGGGAAGACCTTCATTCGACTAGGACACCTAAAAATACACCAGCGGATTCATACAGGGGAAAGGCCCTACCACTGCTCCCAGTGTGGGAAGAGCTTCAGTCAGTCAGTAAACCTAAAGAGACACCAGCGGATTCATGCAGGAGAGCGACCCTACAAGTGCTCTCAGTGTGGGAAGACCTTTGGTCATATAGGACACCTAAAGAGACACCAGCGAATTCACACAGGGGAGAGGCCCTACCAGTGCACCCAGTGTGAGAAGAGTTTCAGTCAGTTGGTTAACCTAAAGACACACCAACGGATTCACACAGGGCAGAGGCCCTACCAGTGCTCTCAGTGTGGGAAGAGCTTCACTAAATTAGGAACCCTAAAAAGACACCAACGGATTCATACGGGGGAAAAACCCTACCAGTGCTCCCAGTGTGGGAAGAGCTTCAGTGAGTCTGCAACCCTAAAGAAACATCAACGGATTCACACAGGGGAGCGACCCTACAAGTGTTCCCAGTGTGAGAAGAGCTTCAGTCAATTAGTAAACCTAAAGACACACCAGCGCATTCACACAGGGGAGAGACCCTACAAGTGCTCTCAGTGTGGGCACAGCTTCAGTGAATTAGGAGGCCTAAAGACGCACCAGCGGATTCACACAGGGGAGAGGCCTTACCAGTGCTCCCAGTGTGGGAAGAGTTTTAGTCATTTAGGAGACCTAAAGAAACACCAGAGGATTCACACAGAGGAAAAGCCCTACCATTGCTCCCAGTGTGGGAAGAAATTCATGCATTTAAGACCCCTAAAGACACACCAGTTGACTCACACAGGGGAGAGGCCTTACCTGTGTTCCCAGTGTGGGAAGAACTTCAGCCGACTAGAAAACCTAAAGACACACCAGCAGATTCACACAGGGGAGAGGCCTTACCTGTGCTCCCAGTGTGGGAAGAGCTTCAGTCACTTAGCAAACCTAAAGACACACCAGCGCATTCACACTGGGGAGAGGCCTTACCTGTGCTCCCAGTGTGGGATGAGCTTCAGTCGATTAGCAAATCTAAAGAAACACCAGCGGATTCACACAGGGGAGAGGCCCTTCCAGTGTTCCCAGTGTGGGAACTGCTTCAGTGTATTAGGACACCTAATGAGGCATCAGCGGATTCATATAGGGGAGAGTGGGGTCGCGCAGTAGTGCAGTGTGTTCACCTACACTGGATTAGAAATTGTTGAGAAATCACATTGAATATTAATGAAAGTCATTAGCTTTTTAACTGGGATATCTGTTATGTTGGGGTCAACAGATCCAGTCTGGGAAACCTTGAAAGCTGCCCCTGGCTGTAATGAGTGATTTTAACTATGCTGGAATTTTACAATAGTGAAATGGTAAATAATGCTTCAACTGCCTACTGTGTTAGAATTACAGCTACATGACAGCTCATATAATAATTTCTCATCCACCTATCCTCGGTAAGCATATTATTTTACATACATTAAATTAGCAAAGAATTATGTCTGAATATACTGATAATAAACCTGTAAAGTTTTGTTTTTTTCTGTAAACTTCAGAGGTGATGTCTGCTTAATGTATATGTATTTTAAATGAAGTAGTTCAATAACATGCTTAAACCAAAATATAACTTGAAAAGGAATTAAATTGTTGTAATGTCATACATTAAATTAATGGGAAAACCATTATTAAGAGAAAACATAAGTTTATATTTGTAAATTCATACAAGAGAGAATGTAGGGCTCAGCACCCTGTCCATTTACATTTATTCTCACTCCAAGGGAAAAAACCACCCAGAACCTTCCCAGACCCCTCCAGCAGCTGTGAGACTCCTTCATACTCCAGGGCTACTGGCTGCTTCTGCAGCTGCTGCAGATCCTGTTCAAAGAGCTGTGAGGAGAGAGGCAGTGTCTCACACACACACACACACACACACACACACTGAACCCCTTGGTACAGGTACACCAGTATCAAGCAAACCAACCAGGACTAGCGAGCTGCTCATCTTCATTCATAGCTAGAGAACAGGGGAAATGGAAAGTGAGAAACAAGTGCGTGACAGAGGTCACCTTATATGTCGAGAACTCGAGAAGCTCGCTGATGTCGTCCTCCTGCTCTGAAAGGCCTGTTGATCACTGTGGCAGCTTTGGACACATCAGGGTGGTGATGTGGGCACAGAGAGGACAGGATTAAAAGGCCATCAGCTTTCACAGACATACCTGCAGCTCCCACAGGCTTAGGGTGACCACCTAATCCATGTCAGGAGGGACACTATGAGCTACAACAGGATTTGTAAACTACCATTTCATACATTTCAATTAAAAGGACCAGGATTTCACTTAAGCACTGGGTTCTTGCCGTATGCTGATTGGTCAGTCTCCTATAATCATGCATATGTGTCAGTAATGTTAATGCGAAACAGCTGGATGAGTCTTTCAATCTAGGAACTAACCAAACATTTTAGCAGAGCACAGAATCCTTTCAGCTTTAAAGTAGTTCGTAAAAGCTGAAGTAGCTCATAGTGTCCCTCCTGACATGGATTAGGTGGTCACCCTACACAGGCTGCTGTCAAGGGTGCCGCAGTGGGCGGGGTCATCAAAGGGCACTAAGCAAAAAGAATCTCAGAGGTATGGTAACGAACACATATATCAATAGCTTCTCCAGGGAGAATACAGATTATGCTTTTCTCAAAATATTTGATTTTGACAGGTGGACAGAGCTTCAAGGTCATGGGGTTGATGTGTAGGCAGTACCGTAGTGAGGTAACAAAAATGGCTTTTTTCACATAACTCCCCCAAAACGTTTAGTCACGCAGCTGTGTCTGACTCTTCACAACTGCATGGACCACAACTGGCCAGGCCACCCTGTTCTCCATTACCTCTCGAAGCCTGTCCAAATTTATGTTCATTGTTTCCACTATACTGTCTATCCATCTCATCTTCTGCAGTCCCCTCTTCCTTTTGCCTTCAACCTTTCCCAACGTTAGCACCTTCTCCAGTGACTCCTGTCTTCTCATTATGTGCCCAAAATATTCAAGCCAAGACCAAAGTGCTTGAGTCCATCATCAGAGACCTACTGTTTGCTGATGTTGTAGCAGTCGGAATCCTCTGACAGCAGGACCCCCAGAGTCTGATGGATTGGTTTGCCGAGGCCTGCAAGGACGTCTGTCTGACCATCAGTCTGAAAAAGACCAATGTGATGGCAAAGGATATTGTGGCACCACCATCGACAACTACAAACTCAAGGTTGTGACATATTTCCAGTGACAGCCTCCCCCTAGGCCTATGCTAAACTTGAAATGAGGACGACTGCATTTTAGAGGTAGAGTCCCATACAGATTCTCAAACACCTGATTAGCATTATCGGCCGTGACATCAGAAGGTTTCATTTTAACACTGCCAAAAAAACACTCATTGTACCCCTTTTAGCCTGAAACATCCACATATCGACAGATGTTTTTAGTCGTAAAGTATTCGTACTTTCTCTCTTTTAACGTCTGGTTAAACCTATCTACGACGGAAGCTTTAAGTTAATTTCCGATGGTGAAATGGGTACTTTTATGACTTTTAAAAAGTTTCTGAAAAATCTGATGTAGCCCTTCCTTTTATTTCTGCCCTACATTCAACCCACTCAAAGTTAAGAATTTTTTTTTTGCTTTACAGCCCATGGTACCATATACGACCCAGTAACAGTAACATCCAGTGGTTACTGACTGATTTAACCAGATTTTTTTCCACATTAAATGTGGCCCCCACCACGTTTTCAGGTTGCTGCTGTACATGCTGCAAAGATTCACCTGTCAAGCTGTGAATAGGTAAGTGGCAGATATTTGGAATCATCGGTTATAATGTATAGATGTTATGGAACATGTACAACTAGGTTTTGGATGTTTTGAAACTTTTCTGGCAACTGTGATGATCATGTTCCATGTGCTCAACATCAGCCTCAGACAAAAACAGAAGGAATACAGGTGGTGCACCAGACCTTACAACCCACCACAAGTAAACTTTCTGTGTGTAGTACACCTTTTTGCAGGTCTGTTCACTTGACTTGTTTCTTGATGTTTGAAGCCTGTGTTTTATTGCCAGCACATGGTGAATGATGAAAAGGAAAACTCAATAAATGCATTTTGAAAATGAGAATGTGGCAAAGATGTGGTTTTTCCTTATTTTCTGTCCTTATTTCATAGGTGAAATTAACAAGTTGGAACAGCATGAACAGTCCAGTGGGTCGTATATGGCACATTTCATAACATGGACTGGGAAAGGGTTATTTTTACAAAACACCTGTTTTTGAGTTCACTGGGCCTGTATGATCATTTTAGCCAATGGACATATTTTTCTTTTAATGATAAGATTGTCTGGCTTCCCCAGGGTTAAAAACTCAAGTTACCATCTATAACTTGAGGGGTACCCCACCCTTGGTCAAAATAGAATCAAGAGTCTGTGTGACAGCTGCACCTGTCTTGTTTCTGACACACGAGCGTAAGCCAATTTTGGGAAAACCCCCCATGACCGTAGATCGCCTGATTGTTGCTCCACAGCCCTCTGCAGCTTCCTCAACCCCCCTTCTGACCCTGGAGTCTGGTCTTGAGCTGCTGTCTTTGAAGCCGACATGCTTTTATCTATGAGGAGTAGTGCATTACAGCTGTGTTTTTATAGGTGTCATTAGCGCAGTTCTTTCCAGGGTTGTACAAAAAAATACATTTACACAACCGTGACCCTTGTTAAAATAATGTGGCGATGGGTGGACCAAGGCATCGCGGGAGCAGAGAGACAGAGACTCACTTGCTGGGGAAACACGCTCTTTATTAGTAGTCTTAACAAGGACTTCATCAGGCACCCAAAGAGCACGAAAAATCAATTACACATAGGAAACACGGGGTTGTAAGACGCCGAACTGTAAGACGATACACGGTGGGAGATTTACGTAAGCCAATTACACACGAGGATCAGACCAGGTACACACAAGACACAGGTAAACACACGCGCAACAATAAGGAAATATAACCATTAACCATAACAGCAACAACACAAGTGCACGCTGGGATATGCGCCCCGCTGGTGCTACACTAAAATAGCAAGAGCCCAACAAATTCCCAGGGACTTCAGCTTGTAATAATGTACAGCAGACACACTGAGGCTGGGTTTGAACCTTGTGATTACAAGCGCACAGGCTTAGCCCACTGAGCCACACACTGCCCACAAATGAAAACTCATACGATCACATAATGGTTTTCCTATGCAATCAGCATATAGGATATGAGGCTGTATTTTGGTTTGGGTTTTTGAACCATTATAGTTAAATATTATGGAAAAACAGGGCTTATTAGCTTAATATTGCTATATTCAAACATAATTCTTCATAATTCTTCAATAATTTAATGTACATAAACAAATGTGCTTTTCAGAGTTAGATGGATGAAACCTGATCTTTAAAATACAAAGCAGGCCTGTAGTACCAAACACAACCTATACAGACAGTGCAAGTACACAGTGCAAATCCCAGTGGATCCTAGTGGAGCCTTGGCCATTTCCTGGCTGTTCACAAAATGAAACGTGCAGTAAGCATTTATTGTTAATGGTGTTAAACATGTTTATTTTGCAAACTGAACTGCCTAATTCAACTTTTTAGGTGCTCATTACATGAGCTGTCATGTAGCTGTAATTCTAACACAGTAGGCAGTTGAAGCATTATTTACCACTTCAGTCTTGTAAAAGTCCAGCATAGTAAAAATCACTTACTACAGCCAGCGGCAGCTTTCAATGTTTCCCAGACTAGTTAAAATCACTTATGAAAGCTGCCGCTGGTTGTAAAGGTTTCCCAGACTGGATCTGTTGACCCCAACATAAACTGGTATCACTTCTAACAGATAACAGAAAAAGCTCACTGAATGACATTTGAGTTTCATTAGTATTCAATGGAATTTTGCAAGTGTCTAATTCAGTGTTTTGTAGCTAAAGACTACCTTCAAAATATTCTATACTATAAAACATTGCCTCTCTGAATATACGTGACAAACAAAACTCTAAAATCCACACCTACAACTTCAAAGCAAAAAATACTTTGTAAAGAATTCAAGAATATACACTTATTTGATTGACTGTAACAAAGGACTGAACTCAGTGAGTCCGCTGGTGTCTCTTTAGGTTTCCTAAATGACTGAAGCTCCCCCCACATTCGGAGCACTGGTGGGGCCTCTCCTCCATGAGAGTCTGTTGGTGANGGTGTGACACCTCCCTCACTTTATTGGTGACACAAAATCTACTATTATAATTCCAAACAAGTTTCCAATTGACACTACCAAATTCATTAATCCATCAATTTTTTGCTTGGGGTATTGAGTGTACCTGACACATTTTCCTGAACAGTTTATTAGAGCATCTTTTATCTTTGATGTTCACTCCATCAACCATAACATTTATACTATGAGAATCAACCAATGACCTATCCTCTTTTTTCCATCACAGACTTTTTTTTTTCCAAAAGCATGCATTAACAGAGGATTTTTTTCCAAAAACACATTTAGCATAAACCTACGTATAGCATTACTAATGGCGTTCCCAGTTGTGAGCAGGTCGTTCGTCACCCTCCCAATGAGTCAGAAATTCTTGCATGATGGGCTTGTACATTCAGGGTCACCAGACCATGAGTCAAAGTGGGTATGAGCCGATCGGTCCAGATGTCACAAACCACCAAATGAAAGTGGATGAACAGGCAGGAACAGGCTGGGGTGATGTCTTTGACTGGGAGGCCGTAGGAACCTTTTTCCATTTGCCTCCTAATGACTTTAGGCACAAGCACTACCTTTGCCACTTTTATGCAGCCTGGCATCCCTCCACACTTGGCCGGGCTGAACACCAATCTGCAGGGCTGTCGTCATCTCCTGTCCCCGCTCAGTGGCTGACGATGGTGCTGATGTGGGGGATTTCCACACTCTCGTTGGACAACATTCAGACATCAATGCATTGTTAAGAAAATCCGTAGCTTTTAATAGGCATTATCAGAGTCAACAGTATCCTCAAGACGCACCTCTAATCATTCATACCTCCCTGTCCAGCACACTGCCGCCCAAGTTCTGGGACCATCATTTTCTGGTAGTCTTTTTAAGAACTATACAACATAGGGATAATGTCGAACAGCACCCTAAACATCCATAGGTCCTCCACCAAAACAGCCAGCCTGATGAGGTAGCAGAATTCTCCGGACCCCAGGCACTTCGTTGACCTTGCAAAAGTACCAGATCAACAGGAACCTCCGCAAAAGGTTACTGGACC